CCATTGTTCTCATTTATATAAATTTTTTGAGTTTATTTTACCCTCTCATTCTTTTCTATCCTTTTGAGGACAATTTAGTGCTATATGGTCAACTTCTTCACATAGCCAACATTTGCATGTCTTTTTTCCAACATCTTTATCCTTTTTGGAGTAAAGTACTTTCTTCCTGGTTTGTATCTTCGAAAAATATTTTTTTCTAAGATTTTTTAAATCCTTTCTTATATGTTTTAGATTTTCTAAATTTAGGAAAGTTATATTTCTTCTTTTTCTTACAATATGATCTTTCTTCACTCCCCGATTGTGTAGGTGTATCTAATAGGTGATAGCAAAAGTTGTTATTTCTCTTAAGCTTCTTTGCTTGTTTTTGTAGCTTTTTCTTAACACATATTTATTTAAAGGTTTCTTTGTCTAAATTAATCCTATCTCCCAGAGTTCCGTCAAATAACATTTCATTCTTGAGTTTTCTTTTTATTTCTGTATTCCATGGTGAAGGTACATATATCTATATATTGGATTGGTAGGTTCTTCTATCTTATAGAAGTACTTAGAGAATTCACATGTATATTCTTCAAATTTTTTTATGTTACAAATTGTTAAGTTTGTAAGCTTTTCTTTTGCCTGGGCAACTAACTTAACTCCGTGTTCTTGAATATCTCCATAGAATTCCTTATGCAAGACTGTTTCATAATCTCCTGCATTTCTGGATAGTCTTATTTGGTTTCTAAATTTTACATATTCGCTTGTTTGTTTAACCACCACCCTTCAGTCTTTTATATGTCCTTGAAATTTTAATTCTATATAATCACATGTCTCCTTATTATTCCACATTTTTCCTAATGCTCCTATTGATAGGTTTATTGCCCTCAAATAATTTTATTTGAATTTAAAAATCTGACATAATTTGCTAACATAATGATGTTGCTTCATAGTTACCGAGTCTGGAAGTTGAAGGAGCTTCTATTCTCTCACAATTTTTGAAGTTTATCATTATGTTTCCTTTTGTATCAATAAGTGTGTTACTTATTTCTTTGGATTCAGTTATTTCTTTATCTCCCTTTAATTTCCATGATGATGGAAAATCTATTTTTGCCTATATGGACGTAGGTATATCCATTTTTCTTTCCTTCTAGTGCTGCTTGTTTTGAAATTAACATTATATTTGTTTATTCTTTTAAGATACTTTGTGTCATTTCAATTCTTTTAAACCTGTGCGAGATTATTTTCTCAACTGGTCCTATTCTATATAATTGTGAGAATTCAAACTTTGGTAGTTTATAGTTTCTCACATCTTTCGTTATTTCTTTTAATTTGTATTCTTCCATTTTCTTTTATATCTATTCTTTGAAATTTAGATGTTAAAGCTCTTATCATTTTTAAGGGTTTTATGTCTAATAACTTTGTAGGCTTTCTAAAACCTACACCATTTTTCGGAAGTTTTTTGGGGATTATTATTATTTGTTGACAAACCCAATTTTTTACAAATTGTATTTCTTTTTCTAAATTTTTTGTTATTTCCTTAATTTCAAATATGGATATTGCCTGTTTGACAACTGCCGCTATCAAACAATTTGTCTAATTAATATGTATAATAGCCATGTCAACATTCTTTCTGCCGGTATTTTGTATCCACCTAAATTGTTAGAATCTATAAAATTCACTATTTTATTGACTCCTTCTTTGAATTTTATATTCCTTTATCTAACCTTTTGATTAAAGTTTTTAAATTGTTTTGAATTGAAATATTGATTTTGCAAGTTCTTCTGTCCGTATTTCTGCAAGTTTAGGGTGATATGGATCAATTTCTAGAGTTTTAAATATCCTTTCTATTTCGATAGTTTTTATTCTTATTTCTTCAATTATTTTATCACTAAGATATTTATCACTAATTTCAATTTTACTAAAAACTTGTGGCAACTGTTTTTTAGTTGGATATTTACTTTGATTTATAAGAATCATATCTAGATTCTTTTCCAGTTTATTAAGATCTATAAATTGACTACTTAGGAAATCTAGGTCATGTTTGGTTTAGTTTTCGAAAATTATTTTTTGTTCTCAAAATTTTGAAAACACCTAAAACCTGTTTGTTTAGCATTTTTGTTTTTTAAATTTTAAAAAAAAAATGAGATTTGAGTCAAAGAAACAAAAAACAAATGTAGCTTGTTTTCAGAGCACGCGACGCGTATAGTCTTAAGTTCAAGAGCGGCTGGTGAGCTTGCTTCGAACTAGACCTATCCACCACGGGCTTCGTCGAAGGGAGGAAAATGCACGCAAAGAGAGGGCTAGAAGCTGGGAGTTGGGGGATTCCATTTCGATCCAAACCCGCCTTAGTCTCAAATAGGCTTTCTTTGAAGGCATAGGTTGGCCTGGGTTCTTGATCTGTATCTAGGTTTTCACTTATACTATTTCATCGACAGTGGCTTGCCAAGGTATTTATACTATATAGGTTAACACCCTTTCCTTTGCCTCGCTAGCCTTTTTCGCCGTGCTGCCATCCATCCACTCAACTATCCCGCTTGCACACTCGACTAGACATGGGACAACCCGCCTGTTCGCCTATAAATGATGCTCTACCTCACTCGACTTGCACTGCGCATCGACTCATAGCTCCCACACCCCCTCCCATTCGTTCCCTTAAACGGCAAACGGTAAAGGTGACGTGCAGACTTTAGAATATATCCGAATAGAATAACGAGGCGGGCTTAGCTGTTCTAACGGGCATTGAAATAATGGGAGAAAGAAACTAACATATAGAATGACAACTATTTTAATGGTCACATAGGATCCCCCAGAATCCTTTTTGACTCAAAATCAAAGATTCTAAGCATATAGGCAAACCCAAGAACCCAGAGAAACAAGAAAGGAGGCCAGCCTGGTTCTCTTCCCACCAAATCATAGATTGACCATAAAAACCGAGGAATAGCCCCTTATCGACACGGTAAGTTCAAAGTTTTTTTTGAAAATTTTTGAAACAAGGAAAACAATTTTGAATATTCAGATATGAGTATATATATATACCAATATATATATATATATATTATGAAATTGTCAATATAAAAATAACTTTTTTATATTTTTTTATTAATGTTTGAATTATTGTTCAAATATATATTTATGCTGTCCAAACATGTTTTATTATTTTTTGTATTATAAAATTATTTTTGAAATCATCTAATCAAACAAGTTTTTTATCTCAAAAAATATAAAAATCGCTTTCTTAAAACTCTTTTCAAAAACTATTTTTTGAAACGCAAACCAAATATGCCCCTAGTTCCTATTTAATTTTTTAGTTTGTTTTTTAAGGGTTTCTTCAACCCTTGTTTCAAATTGTTCTTCGATAATTCTAAGTCATTCAATTGTCATGTATAACTGTTTTTCTTTAGAATTGTTTTCTAAGGGGATGAATAGTTTTTCTAATAGAGGTAGTATCTCTACTACCTTTTCTTATTTCTTTAATAACTAATTATTGATGATTCACCACTATTCATAAAAAATTGTATTCCTAAGGATATTTCTTAGGCTCTGATACCAAGTTATTTTGTGTCGAATTTATTTTGACTTATTTTTATCCTAGTTTTGATTTTTAAAATCTATTGTAGTTAATACGTACAAAAGGAGTCCTAAGGGGTCCTTTTGTTTAGCAGGATAATGATAGAAAATACAAGAAAGAGAAAATTTTAAAAATTTTCATGTGTTTGATTAACATGAAATAGAAAATGATGAAAAAAATAATTTTTTTCCATACTTAGATTTTCTCACAACTAACTAATTTTTTTTTCTTGTAAAAAATATAAGGAAATGCAAGAAAGTTGAGATTTTTAATTAAATTATAATATTACCCTTATTTTTCTTAAAATATTTTATTGGTTATTAATTTTAAAAAATCTTAATATAAATTTGATTAATCATATAATTTAGTTCTGAAAACTTGGTTCTTGTGCCTGTACCAGAATTAGGTTAGGAGCCATTTTTTTAAAATTTCTAAATTTCTAATTATAATAAATATGTTTTATTTCTTTAAATCGAATTAATATACTTAAGGGCAATTTAGACAATTAAAAAAAATTCCTTGTAACTTTCCTTTCTTTCAAATAATTGATTGAAATTTTTTTAAAACTTTCTCATAATTTTTTCATGCTACCCAAATACATGCATGAAAATATATTTTCTTTAATTTTATTTTTTATCATTTTCACCTTCTCTCATTTTTTTTTTCCTAACTAAACGGACCCAAGGGGTTTCCAAATATAATTTGTCCTAACTTTGGGAATAAAGTTTTTTTTTTGGTCAGGATGGGAATAAAGTTTAAAACTAACTTCCTTTGGCAATTAAAAGTTTTTACACTTCGCTCCTTTGACAAATAACTCATACATTGATAGATAGATGTGTTAATTACCCTTTGTTCTCTTAAATATAGCCTCTATTACACTTTGCTACTCAAAATGATTAAAATTTTTATATTATCCTCTCAACTATTTGAATTAGTTTCACAATGCCCAAAAACACAAATGTCTTTTGAATCAAAAACAAAAATGTGTCGAGACAAAGTGAAACAAAATCACATAATAAAGGACACAATGAAATAAAATCACATGACTTAAGGAGGGAGAGTGAAGTAATTTTCTATCTTATTTCTAATGGTTGTTAATCCTTGGGGTAATGAGACACTAATAATTATAGTTAAAGAAGTAATGTGAGAAACATGATAGTTAAGAGGTAAAATAACATAAAGCTTATAATTTAAAGGGGCAAAGTGTAATTAATCATAATGATATTTGAAAAGATAAAAATAGGGAGGGGGTGAGAACCAATTGACGATCAACTCCCAAGAGCCGAAAACCAAGTCAAGGCGTGACGACTTTGGCAACCCGGTCAACGGGGAGAGAGAGAGCTCAGCACTCTCATATATCTGATCATCTCGGATCTACACAGCTCATTCCATCCTTCGTATTCCAATTCTCTGTCTTCATTCCTTTCAATTTTCCCATCGTTTTTCCATTTCAATGGCCAATTCTGAGGAATCAAGCCCCCTTTTGGCAAAGCAACCAGAGGTGAACGATGAAAAGAAATCCACCAAACACGCCACCACCACACCTCCGCCAGCTGTGGTGGTGATGAAGAAGTCGCCCCCGCAGGTACCTGGTGAAGCTCCCTACGGGTGGACCGCCGATGGGTTGCCGTTTGGGCACGCTAACGTTGTGGGTCAGCCGATGCCTAGGGCCCACTGGGACTCGTCCCTCTTCGCTTGCCTTGGTAGGAATGATGAGTTCTGCAGCAGCGATCTTGAAATCTGTGAGTATTCAAAAAATGATCTTATTTCATTTAATTTTGGTTGGAAAATATGATTTTTTTTGCATNTTCTAGTCTATACCTGATTGGTAATTCCTTTTTTGGCACAAACTGCTTGGCACCCTGTTTCTCATACCCTAGCCGTGCAGCTATTCGCCGGAAGTTCAACCTGGAGGCAAGTCAAATTCTTACCCCTCCTCCCTCCCTTCCCTTCCCTTCCCTTCCAACCTTAACCTTGTGCAAACTGGTATATTCTCCAATGGGGCCACATGCCCAGTTACAAGAAAGTCTAAAAAGAAGAAATCTCTTTTTTTTTTCTTCTTATAAGTGATGACCAATTTGTTTTGACCTCTAGACTGTTAAGATTTTAATGTATAAATCTTTATATCACAAGCTATATGATCCAGTGATTTTAGAATTTGCATTTTGTTCTGTGTTGGTTGAATGGTTCTTCATATTAGAGGAAATTAGATGGCAGTATGAAGCAACCTAATTCTTATACTATATTGGTGATTCTTAATGAAGTTTGCATTCGGTTTTAAGTGCGCTTTACTTGATTTGTCATTGACTGGCTTTTTTATATTTGATGACTCAATTTTAGCCTTGTTTTGTGCTTAAGGTATTCCTATTATAGTAGGCGTAGGCGAATTTCCCGTTTCTCTCCCTGTATTGAAGGAAGATGATAGAGGGCTCTGAATTTTGTTTCCATGGTTTTTGTTGACATGAACAGGGAAGTTGTGAAGCATTTGGCAGATCATGTGGGTGTTGCACAAGCTTTGTGGAGGATGAGGAGCAGCGCGAGCAGTGCGAGTCAGCTTGCGATTGTGCAACTCATTGGTTCTGCCATCCATGCGCACTTTGTCAGGAAGCTCGTTAGGTCCGTCGTAGGTTTCCTCATCCTGGGTTTAATGCCCAGCCAGTTTTGGGCATGATTCCTCCTGGGGAGCAGACCATGGATCATAAGGCCTGATTATTCTACCTCTACATGCATACCATCCTGTATCTATTATCACTATGTATCAATAATCTGAACTTTTATTATACTGTTTGCAGTATCTGAATTATGCTTGAAAGTCGTTTCACCTGTTTTGCTGAATCGTGTAAAATTAAATTTCCTTGAAAATGAAATACATTGTATGTGTGGTGTTATTATAATTAGTATATGGAGATGCTTATCTTTTATTTGTTGTATGAAGTAGGGGTGCAACTCGGGCGGGTTGGGCAATCAACCCTAGCTCAACCCTAAGTATATAATCTTCAACCCTAACCCTACCTCGGGTTGGGGAACTTAACCCGAGCACAGCCCGATTTTAATTCAGGCGGGCTTGGGTTGATTATTTCAGGTTGATTTTCGGTTATTTTACAGGTTCAATTCGAGTAGAACCAAAAATAGGCTTGTTGTTCTAAATCTAATACATATATTATATAATATTCACCTAAATTAACAACCAATAACTCCAACAAAATTTTTAACGAGAGAGGTTGAGAGAACGAGAGAGGCAAAGAACGATAGAATAAAAATGAAAAATCAGTGCTAATGTTTTATATATATAATATATATATACATAATTTATTTTTAATTTGTCAAGTTCGGGTTGAACTCGGGTTTAAAAGGCCTTAACCCGAGTTCAATCCAAATTGAATTCGGGTTAGAATTTTTTGACCCAAGTTCAACTCAAGTATTAAAAACCCTTGCCCAAGCCCTAATTTTTTCGAATTGGGCTCGGGTTGTCCAATCCAAGTTGCACCCCTAGTATGAAGCAAAGAGATACCAAATAAAACTCCTAACTCGTTTTTTACGGTATTAGTGAAGTTCTTGGTTGGGGTATTAGCTGAACTATTGGAGTGTTTGTATCCTTAGCACATTTGAATTTATTATCACAAGTTTGAGCTAGGCTGAGGTTTGAATATATGTTCAAATTTGGTTCAATTCGGTTTATTTTTTAATATGAACAAGCTTTGAGCAATAATCAAATTAAATCTAAGTTGTGCTTGATTCGTCTAACCACCTTAATACATGCGCGTGTAGAGATCGAGGAGAGAGCAGGTATTTGGTGTAAAATACGGGTTTGTTGCGGGTTAAAAACTTGAAAGCATACAAAACATCTCCCAGTGACCATAGAGTCTGTTCAAATTGATGGATTTAATGGGATGAGATTGGAGCATCCAATCCAACCCAGTCCAATTAAATGGGTCTTGTACAGTTGTGGTTGTTGACTAGCCAATAATTGTGATTGAGTTACTAGACAAACGACTATTCAAAGTCAGGGACGAAGTCAACACAACCGGTGTCCATTCGGGTCACACTGTAATACCGAATTTTTCTTTTCGGTACGTTATCGCCGTTTCATTTGGGCCATTGATGTAGTTTTTTTTTTTAGCCTTTGATCAGTTTGAAAAGAAGGATACCGGTTACCTGCTAAACCGGTAATAAAAAAGAGTAGAACTTGACAAATAACCTCATCCAAAAAAGTTGGAACCGCTATCCAAAACAGTTAAAACCCCTCCTCCAACAGTTAAACCCAAAAAGTTGAAACCCTTCAAGAGTTGGAACCTTACCGAAAAAAAGTTGGAACCCTTACCCTACCAAAAAGGTTGGAACTCACTCAAAAAAATTGAAACTCCTACAAAAAAATGTTGGAACCCCTACTAAAAAATGTTGGAACCCACCCCTACCCAAAAAAATTGTAACCACTATCCCAAAAGTTGAAACCACTATCCCAAGAGTTGGAACCTCTACCCAAAAAAGTTGAAACCCTCCCCAACTGTTAGAACCTACCCGAGTTGGAACCTCTAAAAAAAGTTGGAACCCTGCCTCAGAGACAGAGTTGGAACTTCTACTAAAAAATTGGAACACCTACCTAAAAAAGTTGAACCCTAACCAAAAAAGTTAAAAACTCTATTCAAAAAAATTGGAACCCCTGCTCCAATAGTTGAAACCTCTACCCAAAAAGTTAGAACTTAACCAAAAAAAGTTGAAACTCACCCCAAAAAAGTTGGAACCTTTATCCAAAAAGTTGAAATCCATCCCAAAAAAAGTTGGAACCCCTACAGTTGGAATTTCTACCAAAAAAATTGGAACCCTCCCCAACTCTTAAAACCCACCCATAGAGTTGGAACCCGAGTTGTAACCTCTACCAAAAAAAATTGGAACCCCTAATCAAAAAAGTTGGAACCCTGTAGAAAGAGTTGAAACCTCTACCCAAAAAATTTGGAACCTCTACCCAAAAAAATTGGAACCCTAACTAAAAAAGTTGGAACTTAACCCAAAAAGTTGGAACTCCTATCCAAAAGATTTGAACCTCTGTCCAAAAAAAAGTTGGAACCTACCCAAAAAAGTTCTAACCCTCCTCCAACTGTTAGAACCCACCGAAGAGTTGGAACCCTCTCCTCAAAATTTAGAACCGCCAAAAAGTTGGAACCTACCTAAAACCCTAACAAAAAAAGTTGAAATCCTACAAAAAAGTTTAAAACCTAACCAAAAAAGTTGGCATTGGCAAGAAACTATATCCAAAAAGTTGGAATGCTAGCCAAAAAAGTTGGAACCCTCCCCCAATTGTTTGAACCCACCCAAGTTGGAACCTCAAAAAAGTTGGAACCTTCCTTCAATTGTAACTCAATCCAAAAATGTTATAACCCTGACCGAAATAGTTGGAAGCATTATTTACAACTATTTTAATTGTTTGATTTTATTCATTATTTATTTTTTGTTAATAAAAATTGGAACTATTCATAAAATATTGAATATTTTAGGACTTTTTTTTTTATCTAGTTGATCCGACTCACCCAAAAAATTGGAACCAATCCAAAAAAAGTTATAACCAGTTATAACCAGACCAAATAGTTGGAAGCATTATTTACAATTCTTTTGTTTACAATTCTTTTATTTATTTGATTGTATTCATTATTTATTTGTTGTTATTTAAAAAATATTGAATATTTTTGGACAGTAGGATTTTTTTGATCTAGCGAATTGTAGTCACCCAAAAAATTGGAACTCAATCTAAAAATATTATAACCTTACCCAAATAGTTGGAAGCATTCTTTTAATTTTTTGATTTTATTCATTATTTAATTTTTGTTTTTAATAAAAAATGGGACTATTTATAAAAAAAATGAATATTTTTGGGGATTCTTTTGATTATTTAAGGAATAAAAGTGTGATTGTTAAGAGATAAAAAGGATAAAAGTGTGATAGTGAAAGGATAAAAGGGATAAAAGTGTGATAGTTAAAGGATAAAAGGGTGATATTTACCCAGGATCGATCTCCCATTACTTGGACCGATCCTAAATTCTTCACATTTTAAATTACACTTACACCCCCACATATTACAATATATTATTTTTTTATTTTCTAATCGAAGGTCCACAAATCACAAAAACCTTATCTCTCCCTCCACCCACTTTCCCTTCTAAAAACTGTTACTGCTCTTGCCTTCCCTCCATCTCGTACAAAAACTATTTGTTTGTTTGGTTTAGATTTTGTTGAGTCTGCGAGTACTCTAAAACTCCATTATTTATTTTTTTTGGGTGAACATTGTCTTTGATAATCCATTGGTGATCCAAGTCTTGATCAGATATAATGTAAGTAAACGTTTTTTTTTCTAATTAATAGCGTAATTTATATGGTGAAGCCATTTTTGTAGTTAATAGTTTATTTTATGTTTAAGGAGAAGAAGGAACATGAAGCTGAAGCTGAAAACATTATGCCATCTCGCCCAATAACCTCCTGATTTTTTTACTAGTGAAAGATTTTTTTTTAATCTAAATGCTAAACTATTTGTCTTGATCTTATTTTTTATTCTAATGATCTTATCGATTCTAATGATTTTTTTTGCTTCTTACCTTGTGATTCTTTGCATTCTTCATTTGGTTGAACAATTGAGCCATTATTCAAGAACTTCATTACTTATTTGTTTTGGATTCAGTTGATTTGTTATTAGGGTTTTTCTAATCATGCCATCTCTGTAAACAGTGTTGCCACCTAAACTTGCCAACAATGCCATCAGAGTTAGTTTCACTCATTCTTTTTCCTTTTTTATTTTTATTTTGAGGAAATAATTTTGCAATTATGTGCATACATTAATCGTAATGCGAAATATACTTGTGTTTTGTTATTCAAATCTTTGAAGGGAGTATAATTTAAGTTACTATGATTATGTTCTATTTTTTTTATTAATTCATATATTAGTGTTTTAGCTCTATCGGGAATGCCTCCAAATAGCTAAATATGTTAGTCATCAGATACACAATATTTCTCTCTTTCTATCTCCCTTCATCTTTTGTATTATCTTGTATATATCAATGTTTCAAGCTTGGTTTTGATTTGATTATTGAGAAACTTAGATCAGGGGTGCCAATGAGAATTGGTTTTGAAGGAATTAGTCTTTTGGCTTTCTTCTGGATTTGGGTTTTCCTAATTTTGGGAGAATTCATTTCCTAAAGAGAGATTGGTCACTCACAAGCTTGAAAAGATCCTTGGTGTAGGTAGTCAAGCACTATTTTGACTTGAACCATGGATTCAGGAGTCATGGAATTTAATTTACATACGTCACTAGGAGGTAAAGAACGAAAGTCTGAAGAAAGACACATCATAGGAAAAAGTTGTATAAGAAGAAACACATTTACTGGGAAGAGGGGTAAGGGATCCCCAGATGTGGGGAACCTTAAAAAAACTAGTCGAAAGGACTTTAAAAGGCCCAAATTCCCAGCCAGAGCTGGAGACAAAGAAGAATTTGTCCTTCCACTGCCTCACATTTGAAGAGTAGCTCATAAAAAGAGTCAGTCCTTCTCTTTCTGAAAATATAACCACTCCAAGCCATTCCCAAAGCAAGGGTTAAGTTTATAACAATGTATAAGCTTAGCAAAGGTAAGTTG